AAAGGACAGGTCTCCTATATGGCACTGTAGCTTCATGAAATAGTGCCAAAGACATACAATGGGGGTGTAATTTTACTCAGCAGATACTGAACACAAAATAAAACTTTGTACAGGAATAGCACACACCAACTTTACAAAATACACATGAGAATTTCTTTGTTATAAGTTTGTGTGCCAAAAACAAAAAAAAAAACACAATTTTACTCCAATATTTACCAGAGGTTGGCGGTGAAATGGCTATGTAGAAAGTGTCAAAACAACCTTAGGTAAATAGCCCGTGATGTCTACTTTATATAAATATATACTTTTGTGTGGCAATTTTGTTTTCTTTTATGGCTATTAAGCTTACAAGACAAACATACCAAATTCTAAAATCGCTCCACATTAAAAGTTTATTTTACTCCTTGTGCTTTGTGACCTGTAACTACCAAAAAAAACTTAAAATCCCAGACACATTATATATTCTGTAAATCAGAACTAAATGAATTTATTTTTAATTACTTTCCTTAACCTGCACTAATTATGCACACATTATTGCAAAAGTTTTATTTTTTTTTGCATTTTTCTGTATTTTTTTATATAATAATTTAAATATATATATATATATATAAATATATATATATATATATATATATATATATGTGTTACATCAAATTAAAGCCCTTTCTGTCCTTTAAAAAACTGTATATAATATGTGTCAGTGCAATAAATTAGTAAAATGCAAATTGCAGTTGACCGTAAACAGCAAAAAATGCTGTTGTCATTAAGTGAAAGACAAGCTTCTGAAGCTCTGTCCTTAAGGGGTTAAATAGAGATAAGGTAGTTTCAAATTGATGCTAAAAATCAGTCAAAGGCTGTCCTCCAATAAAAAAAAAAAACAATATTTCTTTGTAGTAATATAAGTGCAAATATATGAATTAGACATATAAATTGTAATGGACCGACTGCACCCCGACCGGGTACCTTCATCAGTTGCTGCTTCCTAGTACTGATGAGTACCGTAAACACCATGAACCACTGCAGCTTGGTTGGGGTCTCGCCGTCTCCTACCCACCCTGGATCTGCAACAAGTCTCCAGGTTCCAGTGGGTCAAGCAGGAACAGCTTTTTCAAGAGCTTAGTGATTATACTCAAGGGAGTATAGTGATTATAGCAATCCCCAGAGTGTAGTTCTCTAATCCCACAAACATGAGCCAAGACTTCATGAAGGTGCAAGATGATCTCAGAGTTTAATGGTCAGGTTATATTTTTATATCAGGCCGGAGGAAAACCCACTGGACCTGATGGAGCACAGGACACAAATTGTACAGACCAATAGCAACAATGTAACAATGCCTGACACTCCCACCTACAGCACACAATCCTTCCCCTCTGCCTGTGATACAATTAAGGTAGATAATGTCTTAACGTAATTATCCCCAAACATAAAAAAAAAAATGTTTTCACAAAGTCCCATAAGTACCCCAAAATACAACATATCCCCAGTCACATCACCTGATAGCCCTGATATGGGTGAACAACATGTCCAAAAATCACCCCGATCAGAGCTGGGGTTCAAAAGTTTCCTGGAAGTCTCTTTTTGACTAGCCGCAAGTATGGTTTCATTCCCAAAATAGTTCCAGAGAATTAGGCTGTGCGGCCGGTCTATTTCCCATGATTAAAGTGCACTTCAAATAGTCGAACGGGGCCGTTCGTGCACTAAGTCAGTGTTGAAGTGTGTTCGGTAGATTATTTCTACCGAACGGCGCTCTGTTCGTGCAGCCAAGTGTCCGATTTGAGTTCCATGTGTTCAACGACAAAGCACCGCTGGCTGCTTCTACTAAACAAGATGGCCGCTGCCACAAGTTCGACTATATGAACGGCGACCACACAGCTGTTCGTCAATTTGGCTGTGGTTAACTCCCAGCCTGGGGGGTAAATGGGCTGCACATTCCACTTGTGTGTGGTCCAACTGTGTGTGGTCCAAAATCCATTCGGTAGCCCCATCTACCGAACCGCAGAGGGGAAAAGACATGAACAAAGCCTGTCCACAGTGCTTAAGCCAGGTCTAATACATGGGCCATAGACCTGGAGCAAGAGGCTGGCAAACAAGCCCCTCCAAAAACTTGTGGCAAATAAGCCCCTCCAAAAACTTGTGGCAAACTCACAGGAAAAGGGGAGTTTGTCACATAAATTAATAGATAATTTAATGGGGAGTTGAAATATAGAATTTTATTGTGAAAACAAGGTATTTGTCATGTAATAACAGCTTTTAAAACCGGAACATGTGACCAGCATCATGTGTGCATCACTGTTTCGGCTGCTAAGCCTTATGGGAAGTGTAGTTTTCATTTTAGTGTCGGCGAAACTATCACATTCGTCGATGTCAAAACTAAGCTATAACCAATCAATTAGTGCAAAGGACAGATAGGGGGAGAGGTGATTGAGTATTTACCACAAAGGATATTATTATAATTGAAGTAAAATGTTTAAAAAATAGTCGCGGTGGTCATCTTGAAAATATTGAAGGCAGTGGCCATTTTAAAAAGGAAGTTATCATTGTGAGGTGGCCACATTTGCAATATTAAAAAGAAATACATATAAAAAAAAAAAAACAAATGCATAAAATACTAAATAGATATGAATATCATGTATATAGAAATGTATGAAAGAAGTATTAGATAAAATTGAACAAGTCAAAATCTACATTTAAGCCACGAGGGGCAAGAGTCTGTAAATTAAACACTAAGTCCGCTCTATTTCCTGTGGTCAAAGCAATTACCCACAATATTTCACCTCTCCCCTGTGTTCTGTGCAGTTTCATTCGGCGTTCGAATGCTTGCGAAACTACCGAATTTCATCTTAACAGAATGAGAACTGTGGGTGGGGGCCCTAAATAACAATAACTCCCACCAATGAGCGATGGGTGAGGGCTCAATTTAAAAATATTCCCCCCCTGCAAGATGACTAGGGGTCCCCAAGCCCCTAGTCAACCCCCCCCAAAAAAATTAATTATTACCTACACACCTTACCCTAAAAATAGTGAGGTAGGAAGCAATAAACCTAATTAGCTGTAAAAAAATTTTTTTAAACAAATCATCACTTACCATTAAATGTCTTAGATTAGATGTACCATTAGATGTCTTCTTTTTTTAGCCCCCAAAAAAGCCAAATAAAATTCCATAATTTCCATCAAACTTATAAAGTAAAAACTCAAGCGCCCCCCAAAAATATCCAGACCCTAAAAAATATTCCATCTTCACCCAGTGAGGGCGCCGCACATCCTGAGCTCCGCAGGGTGAGGAAAGGCTTATAAAGACTTACCACGCCCTGAATTTGACTCAGAGGGCTCGGATTGGTTGGTTTAAGCCAACCAATAAGAAGGCTCTGATAGGCAAACCTTGAGCCTTGCAAGTAACCAATCAGGCAAGGCTCAAGATTGACCTATCAAAGCACTCTTATTGGTTAGATTAAAATTGCCGTCAAATTGCAGGACGTGGGAAGGCGTTATAAAGACAAAAGGTCCCCCCCACCATTGTAACTTAGGGTCCCCTTCCGCCACTCATGGGTGAGGGCCGGGGGAGATGGGACAATAGGTCCTCCCTTGTAACTTAGGGCCCCCACCCACCACTCATGGGTTCTCCCCCCCTTTTGCCATTTAGGGCCCCCACCCGCCGCTCATGGGTGGGAGACGGGGAGGGGGGACACAATAGGTTGTTGTAACTTACGAACGCCAAGAGAAACAGCATGAGATCACAGGAGGAGAGGTGAAATATTATGTGAAATTGCTTTGACCTCAAGAAATGGAGCGGACTTAGCTCCCCCTCTGGCTTAAAGCTGGGAAAGCGTAGGAAAAATAAGTCCCTACTTTGTCTTATGTTTTAAAGAAAACTAGATCAGTTAGGAAGAAATGAAGAACAGATCATGAGAGAAAGAGAGAGAAGTGATTGGTGAAAGCTAAGTTTGGCATGACAGTGCTGCTTTAAACTCAACCTGTCCAAAACAAAACTTCTGGTCTTTCCTCCCTCAAGTGTTGCTGCTCACGTGTCTGTGTCCCTCCAAGTCAATGGCGCTATCATCATGTCTACCTCGCAGGCTCGCTGCCTAGGTGTTCTCTTTGACTCCAACCTCTCATTAACCCCCATGTCCAGTCAATCACAAAATCCTGCAGCTTCTGTCTCAAAAACATTGCGCGCATCCAACCTTATTTAATATCAGAAACGGCTAAGGTTCTGGTCCATGTTATTCTCTCTTGCCTTGACTACTGCAATCCCCATCTCAGTGGTCTTACATGTTTCCAGCTTGCACCGCTGCAATCTATAATGAATGCTCATTTTCCTGTCTGCCCATGCCTCCCCCATCTGTCTGTCCCTACATTGGCTTCCTGTAAGATATAGGGCTAAATTTAAGATTCTGGTGCTTTCTTACAAGTCCTTACATAATGCTGCTTCAACCTACCTATCCTCCCTAATACACAAGTATGTCTCAATGCCATAAAGTAAAGTGCAAAAATGCAGGTAGGAGCTAAACAAATTGGTGTGTCCAAACCCCACTGTAATATCAATCACCTAATTTTTTTTTTTTTTTTATTATTATTTTTATTAATTTTGAGAAAAATTTAACATACACCATAAAGGGAGTACACAATCCTCCCATATAGCATCAAAAAATGTCTTAATATTACAATAACATTTACATACATAAATAATATATATCACAATTACACAGTCACCAAAAAGGACAAATGACATAAACAAGACAAATAATACTGGTCATTCCACATCAGTAGATAATACCCGATCAGAGATCCCTCCATCAATACCCAGAAAGGAAATAATGAATCAATGGTATATAGTTGCTCGCCCTAATTCCATCTTGCTATCATTACCAGGAAACCTTTTTACTTATCGGAGTAGGTTATATCACTAATTTTAAAAAGTAATTGTTCTCTCTAAGAATATATCATATAAGTCCAATGTTCTCGACTTAGGAATTAGCGTCATAGAGTATACTCCCTTTTCCCTCTCTAATTGGTATATCACTTGGTTTTTAAGATGAACCTTAGTAGGAACCTCAATACTTCGCCAATGTCTCACTATAAGGGTCTTAGCTGCCATTAAACAATGAATAAGGGCCATATCAGATATTTGATTCGTATTTGGACCCATTATATGTAATAAAGCCAATTCTGACTTTTGTTCAAATCGTTTATCCCCTAATAAGTGGATAAGACTGAATGTCAAGTTCCATAAAGATTTAATTCTAGGGCAAGACCACCAAATATGTAGCATTGATCCGTCAATATGGAAACAACGCCAACAATTAGGTTGATTGATCTGTGAGATTTTAACTAAACGTAATGGAACCATATACCATCTGTATGCCACCTTAATAAAAGTTTCTAAAATATTGAGACAATTAATATATATTTTTGTCTTCTGAAAGGATTTATACCATATATCTGGAGGAATATTGATCCCTAAGTCTGATTCCCATTTTATTAATGATTTAGGTAATGCCTGAGATCCCGATATACTTAATAATTCTGCAGCAATTGATATCACATTTTTAACTTCACACCCTGTAAAGATTTTAGTAATCAAACTCTCTATTCTACCATCAGGAGATAACAAATTGTCTTTAAGAAAACTCTTCAAACGAAGAAAGTTAAAGACTTCTCTAGGTGGTAGGTCAAAAGTTGTCTTGAGTTCCTTAAAACTTAAAATTTGTTGGCTATTATACATATCCGATATTAAATAAGGGAAATCTTTATACCAATTTTTTAAGTTGATATCCGGTAAGATTTGTTCCAAAGTAGCAATATGAATTTTCCCTAAAACTTTGTTATTAAAGTTTAATTTTTTCTTGATAATTTTCCATTCTTTAAGGATTTGGCGAAGAATTAGTGGAGTGTTAGTCGATAACTTATTTATTGCATAATTATTTTTTTCATCACCCCACAGAAGAGATGCTAAATTTTTAACTCCACTTCTATGTGCCTCAATTTTATACCATGTTTGAGTTTGGGCTTCCTTAATTTGTAATCTGCTAGCATGAACTAGCATATTAGCCTGATATACTTGGCATATTAAAGGATATCCCATACCGCCCTGATGTCCTTTCTTAGAAAGCATAGTAATATTAATTCTGGGTTTTTTGCCTTTCCAAATAAAATTATTAATACTACTTTGGATCATATTTAGCTAGTGTATAGAAGTAGAAAGTGGGAGCATACGAAATAAATAAGTCCATTTTGGGATTATGTATGATTTGATTGTATTAATCCTTTCCCACCAGGATATTTATTGAGCTCTCCAAACTTTCAATAATAGATTGGTCTCCTTTAATAATTTTAAAAAATTGGTCTCCATAGTGCGTGAAGGATCTCTTGTAATTATCAGACCTAAATAGGAAAGTTCCTTATTGGTCCAAAGAAAATCATATTCTTTTTTCAAAGAAGATAATATATTACTTTGAATATTTAACACCATAGCAGTAGTTTTACTCGTATTCAGTTTATAATTAGAAACTAAACTATAGTTTCCAAATTCCTGCATTAAAATGGGTAAGGAGATATGCGGTTCAGTGATAGAAATTAATATGTCATCCGCATATAAAAATTTTTCCCATCATGCTCGTGTCCCTATTCCTTTAATCGCCTTGTTGTTTCTAATATTATTGGCTAGTGGTTCAACCGATAAAACATATAATAATGGTGAGAGGGGACATCCCTGTCGGGTTCCATTGGAGATAGTAAACCATTCCGAGCATAAGTCTCGGTCCACTATTCTCGCCGTAGGATTAGAATAAATTGCACCCACCACATCAAGAAACCAACCATTCAATCCAAAATGTTCCAGGGTGGACCGAAGGAACTCCCAACCGACCCTATCAAAGGCCTTCTCAGCATCAATCGCTAGGGTCAGGAGGGGAACCCCCTCGGACCTAGCCCAGTCCAAAACATCCAAGACTCTACGAGAGTTATTACAAGATTGCCTACCCATTATAAATCCTATCTGGTCCGAGTGGACCAAAGTCGGTATAATTATTTTCAGTGGATATTAAATTATAAGACTGCCACATATAATTTAATATCCACATCAATAAGAGAGATAGGGCGGTAGTTATTTATCTCAGTAGGTAGCTTATCTTGTTTCAAAATAGGGGTAATATGGGCCCGTAACAAATCTAAAGAGGCACGACCCTTATTTTCTAATTCATTAAAAGTATCCACTAATAATGGTATTCATTCTTTTTTAAAGGCTTTATAGAATAGGTTAGAATACCCATCCGGGCCTGGAGCTTTACTATTTTCCAATTTGCTTATTACAGAATCTACTTCTTTATCTGTGATAATTCTATTTAAATATACTCTTTGCGAAGCTAAGATTTTTTTTTTTTTTTAATTCTTTATTTTTGATTTTTTAGATGCATATTAAATGGAAATACAAAAGATCTTGTGTGTAGCAAGTTAATATAACAATATCGTTCAACAGCATAGTACATGGCATTCTCTTTTCAGTATGGAGGATAGGAATGTTTTAGAGTCATATAAACCGGAGACCCATTGATATGGTACCACAGTCTGGGGTGAGTGTTATTTTCCCTTACTTGGGTTGTGCCATCTACATGTATCTGGGCTTCTTTAGTGGGCAGTCAGCTCGACCCTAACCATAGGATTTGTTGTGTTTTGGGTCCCAGACTCAGACCCTGTTTAGGTAGTGGTGTCTAGTCGAGTATACTAATTCGTGGAGCTAAGATTTTTTTTAAATTGGAATTTTTAAAATATTCTTCTATCAATGCTCTCTTTGGTGTATGATTCAAATGATATAGTTTCTCATAAAAAGATCTAAATCTATTTGCTATATCCTCCAGTTTGTAAATATTATTATCCCCCTCTCTTAGCTTGAAAATCTTACGGTCTATTTCTCATTTTTTTAGTTTGTTCGTTAGAATTGAGTCTGCTCTCTTTCCTTTATAATAATGTCTGATATTAAGTTTCTTTAATTTATTTTCTATTTTAATCCTCGTTATATTATTAATCTTCTCCTGGCATTCCTTAATATCACGAGTCTTATCTTCAGAATAATTGAGTTTATTTGCTATAGACAAACTGTAAAATTTAATATAAAGATCTTATAGTACAATTTCCCTCTGTAATTTATGTTGGCTTGCCAATTGAATCCAATAACTTTGAATTACTACTTTAAAGGAGCACCAAAGACATTCCTTAGATCTTTCATCCGATGAATTCTTGGAGACAAATAATTTCATTAATCTATTTGCTCAATGTTAGCTTTATTTTTCACTAAATAATAAGGGAGTCTCCAAATCAGTGGAGTCTTAATTTGTCTATCCGCCACTTCAGTTATAACCAAGTTATGATCAGACCAGGTATTTTCTAGTATATTAATTGTTAATATGGCTTTTGAAAAACTCAAATTTCCCAAGAACATATCTATTCTGGCAGAGGAATTGTGTGGAATTGATCTGTGTGTGTAATTCTTATCATTAGGGTGGAAAAGTCTCCAGCAGTCGTAAAGGTCTATCTTCTTTATAGCTCTATTAAAGGCTGCAGCTTGTTTCTTCAAGACTGTTTCTATTTGTTGATGCTTTGCTAATTGCTTATCCATTTGGGTGTCTAGAATACAATTAAAATCACCCTCTATTATTAATCTTCCCTTTTTAACTTGTTCAACCAGATTAAGAATTTTCACAAGGGTTTTTATAGAATCCTTATTAGGGAGATAAACATTAACCAGTGTATAGTCTATTTCATTAAAACTTCCAACTAGTAATATAAATCTTCCTTCAGGGTCTAATAAGCTACATGTACAATCAAATTTAATATCCTTAGCAAATAGAATTGACACCCCACTTTTTTTTTCCCTATTAGAGAAGCCAAATATATTAAAGGATATTTTTTAAATTGCCACAGGATCTTTGCCTCCCTAACCCAATGTGTTTCCTGAATAAAGGCTACCTGAATTTTTTGTCTAATCAGAGTTTCATATAAAAAACTTCTTTTCATAGTTGAATTAAGGCCCTGAGCATTTACAGAAAGCAATCTAACCATATTGATATCTAATTTCTTTTTTAGGGACCTAACAATCCAAATACAAGACCAGTATTCACATAAACGTAACACAAAAACAAACACCATAAAGATCATATCGATCTTAAGCTTGGGCCAGAAATTCTGAGCCAGGCCCTGGGTACCCATATGGAGACCCACAGGGAGGATTAAGGAGTCCAGGGTAATTCATGAGAGGAGAGAGAGAAAAGAGAAAAAAAAATATCCTATATCTACTTAAAGGACCACTCTAGGCACCCAGACCACTTCAGCTTAATGAAGTGGTCTGGGTGCCAGGTCCAGCTAGGGTTAACCCATTTTTTTATAAACATGCTATGTTTATGAATGGGTTAAGCCTTCCCCCTAATCCTCTAGTGGCTGTCTCATTGACAGCCACCAGAGGCGCTTGCGTGCTTCTCACTGTGATGTTCACAGTGAGAGCACGCAAGCGTCCATAGGAAAGCATTGCAAATGCTTTCCTATGCGACGGGCTGAATGCGCGCGCAGCTCTTGCCGCGCGTGCGCATTCAGCCCAGGAGGAGGAACGGAGGAGGAGAGAAGGAGGAGAGCTCTCCGCCCAGCGCTGGAAAAAGGTAAGTTTTTAACCCTTTCCCCCTTCCAGAGCCGGGCGGGAGGGGGTCTCTGAGGGTGGGGGCACCCTCAGGGCACTATAGTGCCAGGAAAACGAGTATGTTTTCCTGGCACTATAGTGGTCCTTTAAATATTCGGTCATTATTACACTAATCGTGTTTTATATTCTTTTATACATTCGCTTCATCCTTATTAAAGTGCCTTGTGAGTATATTTCTAATTTATTTCTAAGTGCCAATATTAGGCTTAATACCTAACATTCCATAGTTACCAAAATAACGGTGATTCTCATATTTAAATTCAAACTTAATTAGTGAAGATATATCTCAAATATACTTCTAAATTGATGGAAAATTTAGAATGCCCAAATTACATTAGGAAATTCAACAACAACAAAAAATAAATTCAAAACCTCAACTAAAAAAATCTTATGACTACTCAAATATAAAGTCATTTTGTAAATAATCGTAAATTCTATGTGCATTCATTTCATCATCATTAAAGTGCCACATGAATATACTTCTAATTTGCTTATAAGTGTTAATATTGGACTTAATACATAATACCTAACATACCATAAAGAAAAAAAAAAACACCATTAACCCATTCCCTTTTACTCTAGACTGCTGCACACTATAAGTTGTTGTCTATTAACCAGGCAAAGGCTTGCTCTAATGTTGAGAAGGTCTTCCAAATGTCCTTATGGTAAATTTGTAGAGCTGATTGTTGGTTCCATTTAAATTTAATATTATATTTCTTTAAAGAAGGGAACACTGGCGAAAATAAATTTCTTCGTTGTCTTGTAAGAAATGAGACATCCGTTAATACTTTTATTGCCTTGAGTTTTTCTTGTTTAATATCTGTATTTCTTGCTTTCTGGTACACCTTGCGTTTTAAAGTCCAATGAGACAAAAGCAGCGATTCTCTGTAATCTCCCCGCCAAAGAGGATAAGTCCATCTTAATATCTAAGAATTTTTCCAACACATTAGATTTAATATCAGTAGAAAGATCTTCCATACATGACTTTAAAAAAGAAGATGTTACTATTTATTTTTCTTTGGACATTAAGGGTGAGGAGTTTCCCCCAACTTGAATGGGGTCTAAAATAGAATGTTCCAAAATCTCATGGCCTTCCTGAGGTACAAAGAAAGCAGAGAGGCGTTTCTCCGATTTAGAAAGTACTTTATCTTCCTTTTTTCTGGACGCCATATTTTAGTGTTAAGTATATTCAATATACCTTCATTTATTTACAGCTCATTCACCTCTCAAAAACGATATAATTCTTATCTCCTCAGATTATTACTTATTCAGGGTACTCAGAGAATATATAAAAAAAAAAAAACTTACAAAGTTAAGAACCCACAGCAGGGGATCCCAAGAACTTATACTCAAATTCTAAGTTTGTAATCTGATCTTTTTATTTAGAGCTTTAAGAGAGCATGAGGAGATGATACAAAAAAAAAAAAAACTACTGCCTCTTTCTTGTTTTTTTTCTTTTTTCTCCCCTCCTTCCTTCTTGCCTTCTTCCTTCTTTAAGCTTTATAGATATTCACTGGATTAAATTTAATGACTTTTAATAGCTTTTGATGCTCCTTATATCCCCTCTTTATTATTTCATGTGGGAAAGTATTCATAACATCTGTTTCTCTCACAAGCATAGAATACTCCTCACCCCCGTAAAACTCTTCTCCTTCCACCACCACTCCATCAGCTCCCAGCACTCTCCTTCTCCCGCAGCCCTCACAGCACACCAGGAAAGGCAAATATGGATGGTCTGGGCAGTGAGATTACCGAGTTTGCCGAGGGAATCCAGTCAGAGAGTCTGGTCTTAATCCGAACCTAATCAGTCCTGTGTAGCATGCATAAATTGTGCAGCATACAGAGACTGTCGGTTACGATCGGCTACTGTCGGTTTGTGTTCCTGGTTTCCAGATGGTGTACAAGCTCTCTCCTCGTGGCGACTACCTCCTCTCATCGACCCGCCAGTCTCCAGCTCCTCCCCTCCTCCCAGTTGACTCCGATACTATTCTTGCTGTGGCTGCATCTTGCAGCCGCTTAGTAGATAACTCCTAAGGTCCTACGGCTAAGGTTCTGGTCCATGTCATTCTCTCTTGCCTTGACTACTGCAATCCCCATCTCAGTGGTCTTACATGTTTCCAGCTTGCACCGCTGCAATCTATAATGAATGCGACGGCGAGGCTCATTTTCCTGTCTGCCCATGCCTCCCCCATCTGTCAGTCCCTACATTGGCTTCCAGTAAGATATAGGGCTAAATTTAAGATTCTGGTGCTTGCTTACAAGTCCTTATATAATGCTGCTTCAACCTACCTATCCTCCCTAATACACAAGTATGTCTCAATGCCACAAAGTAAAGTGCAAAAATGCAGGTAGGAGCTAAACAAATTGGTGTGTCCAAACCCCACTGTAATATCAATCACCTAATTTCACCTTGAAAAGAATAGATAATAAATACATATAGTGGTAAATCACACAAAATATGTGTACAATGATATGGTAAGTAGAATAGATATAATACAGTATAAATACCCTATATAGCTTCCTCTCAGAGGTAGCTGGAAGAGATAATAGCTAGTGCAAGTGCAGGTATCACTGTACACATATTTTGTGTGACTTATCATGGTGTGCGCCACCCACTATATGTATTTATTACACAAGAATGTCCCATCTAGGCCCCTGCACTCGGCCGAGACTTACGTCTATCCTCTGTCCGTACTCCCACATTTGATGCTCGCCTTCAAGACTTCTTCAGGGCTCTACCTTTTCTGTGGAACTCCCTTCCCTTCTCCGTTAGACTTTCACCCAATCTCCATTCCTTAAAAAAAAAGATCATTAAAAACAAACTTCTTCAGGAAAGTGTATCAATTAAACTGTTTTGAGGAAGCAGTCATATGGCGAAACGCGTCAACGTCACACAGGGGGAGGAGCTTGTACAAGTCGGAATCCGAGGCGGCCACATTCAATTTCCAACTTTAGACTGCTGGTTTACCTTCACAGTCTGCAGCGTTGTGTTCCCAGTCTAGCCGAGCCGGAGGAGTGACAGCAGCCAACCCACAGATCTGTATAAGCTGTTTTAGTGAGTAACGGTGGAAGCCAGTCTAACTCACCATCATATCTAGTAAGAGGCTAGCAACCCTCTGCTTGTATATTTTATACTTTCCATTTTTCCCTTTATTATTTATTTTAATTCTGCATGTAGTAGACAATAAACTGTTTTATTTCTTCAGTACTTTGCATTTGAAGCTATTTTTTATGATATTATATTTGGATAGATCATTATGATTATCTATAAATAAGGCTCACTAAGCAAATGCTAACTGATTAATTACGGTCAGTCTATATAATCTTTACTATTATTGCGTTGTTTATGTTTTTCTCTTACATATCTCAATAATATCTTGGAAGATTCTTCATATACCTGAGGAGTTTAATTCTTTAATACTGTTGTTTTAAAATTGTGTCTAATATTGCTCCACTCACTATTACACATTAAACTGTTTTCATCCCCCCACTCTGACTCCTCTCCTGCAACTGTCAAAAATAACCTACTAAGCCCTCAGTGAATACTTTTCTAGCAACTTACTTCGTTACCCCTACTTTTACCCTTTGTGTCACTATATCCCACTCCCTCTAGCATGTAAGCTCATTGAGCAGGGCCCTCAGCCCCTCTGTTCCTGTGCGTCAAACTTGTCTGGTTACAATTACGTGTCTATTAGTCCATCCATTGTACAGCACTACAGAATTTACTGGCACTATATAAATCAGTGATAGTCAACCTTTTTCTACCTACCGCCCATTAATGCATCTTTCTTGATGGAAAAATTTCCTTACCGCCCACCAGTTTTCGCGCAAGTGCAGAATATTTTTTTAGAAAAATACATTTATCATTTTATTTATACTTAATGCATGTTTATAATGTTTTTTACTTTATAAAGTTTAATGAGAAAACAATAAAGTAAATTGAAATTACCTTTACTAGTGATTAATGAGATTATTGAGGCTGATGCTGCGAGACTAAATATTTGATATCTGGTTCGATTTTCGTAAGGAACAAACGAAGGTCTCCTCTTTCGGTGATATTCAGATGACTTCTCTGTTTGCACATAATATGATTTCCTCTCCCTCCTCAATTCCCCTCCCCTCCTTTTTTACCCTTTTTAAAAAAATTTAACCTTCCTTATAGCAATGCACAGAAGGAAGGCTGAGCTAGGTAGCCCACTTACTATAGCCCACTATAACAGACAGGCACACACACATACATACATACAAAGACACATACATACAAACAGAAAGGCATACATACATACATACAAACACACAGACAGGCACACACAGACACAGACAGGCACACATACATACAGAAACACACAGACACAAGACACATACATACAAACAGACAGGTACACATACATACAGACACACACATACAAATACAATCACCTACGACATACATAGACACATACACACATGCAAAGACACATACATAAGACACACATACATACAAAGACATACACACACAACACATACATACAAAGACAAGACACACATACATACACACACACAAGACATACATAGATAAACACATACACACACAGACAGACACACACAAGACATACAAAGACACACACACAAGACATGCATACAAAGACACATACACACAAGACATACATACAAAGACAAGCTTTAAAACATCAAATGCGATACCGTTGGAAATGTTGGAGGCATTTATAGTAACCCTCTCCAAACCTGGTAAATCACCAACGGAATGTGCCAACCTTTGGCCTATTTCACTTTTAAATGCAGATATAAAAATATATGCCAAGGTATTGGCATCTCGAATAAAACCGATCCTATTGGGGCTCATTTCAGAGGAACTGGGATTATATGGAGCATACCCTTCAGAAATTCCCTTCAGAAATTCAACTTTCCACAATCCTTTGTGAACAATATTATGGCATTATACTCAAAACCATCAGCGAAGGTAATGAATACTGGCTTCATATCCTCTAAATTTGTGATCTCAAATGGAACACGCCAGGGGTGCCCACTTTCCCCATTAATTTTTATAATCACCTTAGAGCCCCTGATTAGACACATAAAACAACATGCTGGTATATGTGGGTTAAAAACACCGACCGGTGAACAAAAAGTAGCCGCATCTAATAAAGCTGCTGGAAAGATAGAGCACGATCTCCTTTTATAAAAATAATGTTAAAAAATCCCAGGCGTTACCGTTGGGTGTACCTAAAGAGGAGTTAAATCAATTAGTACGTACTTACTCGTTTGATTGGCGCAAATATTTTCTAACATAACTGGATATAAAACTTACTAAAACTAGCTCTCTCTTAATTAAGCATAACCATATTTCTGTATTACATAAACTAGAAAGTCAGCTAAATAAATGGGGGGTTTTGGGGGCATCTTGGTTAGGACGTGTACACACAATAAAAATGATGGCCTTGCCCCATATATTGTATCTTTTTCAAACTATTCCAATGGCTGTGCCAAAAAATGTATTTAAAAAATTTCAATATATGTTTAATTCATACATATGGAAAAAAAAACACCAAGGGTGGCAGCCAGGCTTACAAAACTCCCATACCTACAAGGCGTATTGGGCATTCCTAACATTACCAAATATTATCAGGCATACATGTTATCTTATGCTTTGGCAGTACTTTTTCGATCAAACTCACCATTATGGTTAAAATTGTAACAAGTATGCGCTAAACCCTATTTAATAGAAAAGCTTTTATGGAAGACCTCAATGAATGCATCAATAGGGAAAAATATGCTCTCTATGACTAAATTAATGCTTTATCATTGGTTTCAATGGACTCCTAAACTATTAAAAGATGTAAAGTTACAAGCCCTAGCTCCATTATATGTAATAAAGTACTTTATACAAGATTTAAATCTGAATATTTGGGAAGTTAATGGTATTAGTAAAGTGCATATGTTATATAATGCGGCAGGGATCAAATCGTACCCTTGCTTGCAGGCAGAATTTGCCCTTCCGAATAAAGAGGTATTTTCGTATCTAAGGATCAAGAATTTCTTGTTAGAAAATAAGCTGTTAAATTTAGATCTGGCCTCAGTGAATTGGTTAGGTAAATTCTGTTTGATTCCTAAGACGACAAGCAAACCTCTTTCAATATGCTAAATATGCTATATGTAAACGGGGAAGAAAAGTTGCCTTATATGATATTATGGGAACGTGACCTATTAAAAACCTTTGATCTATTCCACTGGTATCAAGCAAAGGGAGAAGGGAACTCTATTTCATATTTTTTGGGAATGCCCTTGTCTTACACGGTTTTGGAATGATATTAAATCTTTGATTTGAATTTTAATGGGGACATTGATAGCAAATCTCCCTGAGTTCTATCTTTTACACATATGCCAAGATTGGTGGCGAACAAAACACAACTTAGTTATTATTCATATATTAATCGCTGCGTAAATAAGCATTGCTCAAAATTGGAAAAAAATACTTCCACCAAATGTCTCGGAAGTGCAAGAAAGAGTAGATAAGACGTACCAATACGAAAGAATAGTAAATAAAATAGAAGGAAGAGAAGGTTGGCACGAAAAAACATGGCAAGACTGGTTAACATATAGAGTAAGGTATAAATAGAACTTAAAGTAAAAGGAGAAATAGATTAAAATAGATATGAGGCTAATGCTTGTATATAACTGCATATTAATGAATGATTGTGCATGATTACATAATTGAAAGATCCAAGGATAAAATTGTTATAATTGCTAAAACAGGATGAATATGCTGTGCATTCCACTTGTGAGAAAGTAATATTTGTTAATGACAATTATTTATAAATGTGCATACTTATATGAGTCGAATATAGGGATTACAAATGTAATGAAGGCAACAGTGAAGAAGAGCATTTTTTTTTATGTTACTGTATTGTTTTATTGTTTAAAACTTATGTTGTTCTATTTTTTTTTTATGTATGAGAAAATAAATTAAAATAAAATAAAAATTAACAGAAAAAAACCCAAAAAACTATTTGCCAAATTCTTGCTAGACATTAGCGGCTTAATTGAGGACATTGGATTTTTCAAAGATAGCATAATGTCATCTGCAAATAGACCGATTTTATGTTCTTTGTCTCCAACTACAATGCCCTCAATCTCTTTATGTTATGCCAAGGGCTCTATTGCCAAAATAAATAAAAGAGGTAGCAGAGTGTCATTTCTTCAGTGTTGTCACATGAAAAGATATAATAAAATATTTACAAAAGTGTGAGGGGTGTACTCACTTTTGTGAGATAGTGTACACCCAATCACATGCATACACACATAATCACAGATATATACATGCACACAATAACAGAAACACAATCACATACACACACAAACAGACACAATCACAGCCCTATATACACAATCACCGACACACTGTCGTGGCACTGCCTGTCCTGTATCCAGAGGCCTGCCCTGCTTTGCCTTTCCTGTATCCAGAGGCCTGCTCTGCCCTGCCTGTCCTGTATCCAGAGAGGCCATAGCGTCCCACCCACATAGGGAAGTGTGGACACCTACTTACCCAGCAAAATGTATAAAAAAAAAAAAACAGACAAAAATGCTCATATACAATATTATATTGTGTGATGAAAGCCATTGTACCTCTGGCTTGTGGAGGGGCTTAAAGGCCAGCCTCCTCCCCACAGACTATAGACCCTGTCCCAGGACACCCGTACTAGAGGGGCTGTTCCCTCGGCTGTTAGAAGGAACATGCTCCTCCAGTACAACTATTCCCGAGCTGGTGCTCCCATCATCTTTAATCAAAAAATGTGTGTGTATGTATATATATATATATAGGTATATATATATAGTGAGGGGGAGAGAGAGATAAAAAAAAACAAGCAAACAGTGCAGAAGATGGTGCTAGAAGGGGATAGAAAAAACAAAATGATTACTTATAATAAGAATGCACAAAAGATGAAAAAAAGGAGTAAAAAAAGATGGGGAAAAAATGAGGAATATGTTGACTCATTAGATAGAACATCTTTGTTAATGAATAATAAGAACAACAAAAAAGATAGGCAAAACAATACAAAATTTGATTATGCCTTTACAACCACATCTAACTTACAAGCCCAAAAAATAGAAAAAATCTTGAAAAGACACTGGCATATACTACAAAAAGATGACATATTAGGAAAAAAACCTACGGTCATTTATATGAAAGTTGATAATTTAAAAACTATATTAGCTCCCTGCTTGGTAAAGGAAAATAAAAAGATTCCAAGACTATTCAATCTACAAGTTTTCTATTGTTTTGGAAAGTGTTCCACATGTAAATATCAAAAAAGAAAACCCAACAGCTTTTAAGGCACGTATACTAATAAAAAAATACAAGAAATGTATACAGTGCTCCTCCATTTCATTGTAAATTTACCATTTATCACATGACAGGAGGCTTCATATTTAGCATTTTTAAAGCTGTGGTATGAGCGAGAAGGATGCGTGTGTGGTTGACGAAAATAAATATATGAAAGTAGTCTATCCGTATCCAATTCGTCGCTGTAAAATATAGAGGCCCCCGGGCCTGCACATTCTAAGAGCTCTTGCAAATCCGGGCATAATTGAGCTAATAACGACCAATCTAAAAGAGATAGCAGCACACGGTGACCAGGAAAAGACGCACTACAACCTGATGCACAAAATGGTGCCTGTCCGGCACCGGAGCTCCACAGAAAAAACCACACCGGCCATGCGGCCTACACCGGAGCGGGACCTGGAGCCCAGGGGAGGCGGCCGATCCCCCGGCATGGGAAGCGCCTAAAAGCGAGAACCCACTACAGCCCTGCTGCCCCCCCCTTTGCACTGGTGGGAGATATCCCGGTCCTCGCAGGGGATGATTACAACCAAGCGAAACCAACGAGGCCGAACTAAGATGGCGGTACAGGTGCAGCCTGTGACTTGACATACACTTGCTGAGCCACCCAGGCATACCCTGGAGTTCTTCGACCGGCTGTGCACCCACCTCTGGACGAAGCACAACAACCACAGACGGCTCTATAAGCTGATGAGAAGAGCAATAGCAGCGTGGATCTGCCTGGCTACCCAGCGCCACCTGCAGGGAAATCCCCCTCATAAAGGCAGAAAGGCCTCCAGACGGAAACAAAACCAAAAATCAATATGGCGGGAGACAGTGCCGGGTACCTCGGACACCAAGGCTCAAGATCCCAAGCCCCAGAGGTGGGACAACCAGCGCACCCGACTTGCCTGACATCCAACAGCCCCAGCAACACTCAACGGACAGGGAGCAGCCCCTCAGGTGGGAAATCACAAAGCACACAGCGATGCCGCCCAGGATACAGCGAGGTTGTTGGCAGGCGGGTGGAACCTACAGAAAACCCATCCATGACCCACCGGAGATGGAACCCCGATGGGGCATCTACCCTGCCACACAAGATGTGGCGAAACCGACCTCGCCATGTGTCCTTGGAGGGGGCTGCTTGCCCGCCTCTTGCCTTTGGACTATGGACCAGACTTTATGTGAATGTGTTAACCCAGATAGCTATGCCATGGAGCCCATTCGTGTAGTTAAAGACATTCGGCTCCATGGCAATTGAACTGTGTGAATAGGATCTGAGCGCTATTCGGTAGTTTTGTGTGCTCAGATCCCAGCTATCTGGGGATATGTGAAATGTCTGTGTGTTATGTGTAAACGGTGACTTTATGTATTTTAAAGTGTTTTATGTCTTTTTTGCAACCATGTGCTCAATGGAGTCTGCCTCTATCCCTGGATAACTGGATTACTTTCCCCATTGTCTCCAGGATAGAGGGCTCTGTAAAACCGGTTTGAGCCAGATAGCCATGTGCCAGCCAGGGCTCAAAAGATACTTTACTAACTTTTGAACCCCTGGTCTGATTCATGCCATTTTTTAATATGTTGTTCCCCTGAATGGATTGAATATGTAATTTTTATGTAATTTTGATGTAATTTTTATGTGAATGTGATGTATAGTTTTAAAGTTATGAAAGTTGGGTAGAAAGTATGTTTTAACTGTATGTGTAATTGAGTTTCCTCTCAGGATAAGGGGAGGGAATATGTGGGATGTAACTGATATGTGATTGGTTGTTTTATACCTCCCTGTGGGCAGTCCTGTATGTGAAAGGCTGTAATAAAAACCAGGCTGGGTGTGCCAGCACATGAGTTCCTGCTTAACCCTCAAAGTGAAGTGTCGTCTCATTATTGGGGGATGATTTATTGTATGCTGTTCCAGTTTGATTGCCAGGAGTGTAAGCTGATTGTATGCTTTTCCTGTTCAGCTGTTTCCAGTATTCATAGTTACATAGTTACATAGCTGAAAAGAGACTTGCGTCCATCAAGTTCAGCCTTCCTCACATTTGTTTTTTGCTGTTGATCCAAAAGAAGGCAAAAAAACCCAGTTTGAAGCACAATTTTGCAACAAGCTAGGAAAAAAATTCCTTCTTGACCCCAGAATGGCAGTCAGATTTATCCTTGGATCAAGCAGTTATTACCCTACATTTAAAGATTATATCCTTGAATATTCTGTTCTTGCAAGTATGCATCTAGTAGCCGTTTGAACATCTGTATGGACTCTGATAAAACCACTTCCTCAGGCAGAGAATTCCACATCCTGATTGTTCTTACAGTAAAAAAACCTTTCCTTTGCCTTAGGCGAAATCTTCTTTCTTCCAGTCTAAACGCATGGCCTCGTGTCCTATGTAAAGTCCGGTTTGTGAATAGATTTCCACACAATGGTTTGTATTGGCCCTGAATATATTTGTATAATGTTATCACATCCCCTCTCAGGCGACGTTTTTCTAAACTAAATAGGTTTAAATTTGTTAACTTTAAATTGAGTTTCCTGTTCAGGAGTTGGAGAATTCGTGTAGTTTGCAGTTCGGGAGATTGGTGCTTGCAGTAGCTGTCTGTGCATCTGAAAGGGGAATATCGCCTAAACGGGTTTTAACCTCTTTTGAGCAAAACGGTCCGTTACACAAGACAAGCCACCAAAATGGGCATCGGGTAATGCCATCCCGACCGGTGCACCCAGAGGCTCGCAGCCTAGGCCCTCACAGAGACTTTTATTCCACTGAGGAAACAACTGGTACTTTTCAACACGGCCACAAGCTGAAGCAGCCACTGCAAAGCCTTACAAGAACAATGCTTTACATACCTGGGTGATGCTTTATATGTTTAATTCGCTTTGTGATACCTGGTAGTAGTATGCATAGGTCTCTAATGCTGTCAGGGAGGTGCAGGCCAGAAGGGGTTAACGCTGATTTTTTTCCTATAACTTGGAACACCCCTAACTAGCTTTATAGCTATTTAATGAGAAGTTAACAACTACTGCACACACCATGCGGGTTCAGCTCCCCTTTTAACATCAGCATATGACTGAAAGTCCCTTTAGCTTAAATTAACCCCCAGTGGTTCATAACCTAGCCAAACATGTTTACCCTTATACGAAGTTAACTAGCATGTCTCCTAAGTTTACTCATTTTACTTCTACTCCTTTTATGTCTCACCAAGGTTATTTCTTTTATATATCTTGCATCTGAGAAAAATGTTAGCTAGCGCCTTTTAAGCCTTCAGTATTAATGCTCAAACGTAACCCATAACGAAGTATAGGCTAGACAGAATTTGTGCAGCGAGG